ATTGTAATTCAAATTTTGTGTTACGTTTATCGAGTAACTTTCTCATTTTATAAAACTGACAGTCACATTTAAAGGGGTTTGCTGATATATTAACATAAACTAGTTTGTTGAGAGTTCTAGCAGAAGCATAACACTCGTTAGTCAGCTGTTGATCTGGGAATATTTCTGTAAATACACTGATATTTAGATTTTTGAATTTGTTCCTGTCTAATCTAATGTGTTCAAGATTTGGCGCACACCAGAATGCATCTTTGGATATTTGGGCTAAATTACAGGAACTCAATTCTAAAGTCCTTAAATTTGGCGTTTCTATGAAGTGTCCGTTCCCTGGTAACTTTAACATTTTGTTGTTAGAGAGACTGAGCCTTGTTAAGTTCCTGGCATAACTAAACGTCCATGGGTGTAGAGTAGTAAGTTTGTTGTTTGATAAATTCAATTCATTTAGGTGAGTTAAACCGTTGAATGCAAGTACTTCAATTGAAGCAATTAAATTATGCGACAAATTGAGAGAACGTACCTTTACCAATAAACAGTTCTCAGCTAACGTGTAGTTCTTTAACGCTGTGATGTTGTTGAATGAAGCATCAAGCTCCCTTGTGTAGACGTTGAAGCCGTATGGAATTTCCGTCAATGCTGCCTCTTTACAGATGACAGAGATCATCTTAGGTGATTCAGGTGCACTCTGACAGGTGCACGGCGTTGGGCACTTGGGTGCGCATGTGAATTCCTCTATTACGATGAGCGTAAGTACGATGTATTTCTTGTAAATCGACATTTTCTGTTAAGATCTACGAAAGATAAGTATTTGATCCTGGAGAGACTGTTAAAATGATTGGTAAAGTACCTTTGTATTTCATCTAATGTTTGGTAAAGTTATTGATTATTACTAGCCGCTTATTTGAAAGCAAATTTTGGTAATAAAGTGTAAATAAAGCTGTTACAGTAAACGTCAGAGATCTTAGGTGATTCTGGTGCACTCTGACAGGTGAACGGCGTTGGGCACTTGACTGCGCTTGTGAATTCTTGTGTTACGATGAGCGTAAATATGAGATGTTTCTTGTAATTCGACATTTTCTGTTGAGCTCTGCAAAAGCTCCCGAAATGTTCGTGCCGAGACTGATGTCACCTCATTTGAATGATATGATCGAGAAACTAAGTGGTCTAAAGGCTTTACCTGTTATATGTATGATGCTCTTATAATGATAAGATTGTATGATAAGGATGATGAAATGATGAAACGTGACATACGATCTTTAAAGAAAGTGAAGATTGTTCAGGAATGTAGAGTAAAGTTCAGCCGTCCTGCTACACGGCACGTAGGTCGTTTGAGGGGGCGGTATAGCTCCTCTCTTCCTTGACCTCGGCACTAGATACGGGTGAGTGGTCGGCATCAATGCTCGGACGCGCTTTACCTCCGGGAAACAACACCGATACCCATTGAGTAGAAGGCAGGGTGGGCCCTAGAGCCGGTCTGGACGCAGAGGCTAGAGGAAAAATCCTCAGCCCCCGTCGGGGATGAAAACCATAGCTAGTCATTATTTCAACTGAATTATCCCGGCTCCCATGTTTAATGTGTTGATAAGTTTATTAATTTCACAGAGAGAAATATCCTTAAAGAAATATGGCATTGATGCTGTGCTTGGTGCCATACCAGGAAAATTTGTAAAGCTCATTCCAAAATTGGGTGTAACGGATCGTAATTTCGAAGAAGTGCGATGCTTATAAAGCACTAAAAAGATCAATATTTATTCTAGGTAAACCTTAATTATTTGTAATGATGCATTTTGTACGGAATTAAAGGAGTGTAGAAAGGGTTAAAGGTATTGAGGATTTCGTGGTTTACCACATGTATAAAATCGGTTTTCAGGGTTATTGGCGTTTCAAAGGTGCATGCTGCCTCCAGCATCATGAGTCATCGATCTGTTGCATCTGAAACGTCGGTGAACATTTAGAAGGTTACAGTAGGCAACAATTCAGAATTGGATTCTATAGTGTTCTGACGATGGTGTGATATAGTAGGAGTTGTTGGGTTTTTCTAAACGTCGTGTCAACAATCCGAAAGTCAAGTGTCTCTGGTTAATCCAACTACGCTGTTATTTTGACGAATTGATAACAACCATGATAATTTATTGATTTAATCGTTTCCCTTTTTAACTGTTTTTTAGATATTTATTCATATTTTTAATTGCATTGTATTAATTATGTTTACTCTCCATCTAGAAACGAAGTGTGGTTGTTGGAAGCTGTGTAGACTAAGTGAAATCGAATTTTGATTTGTTTAGAGAATCCAAGTGATGTACCTGACACATACGTTTAAGTTACTCTTACTGGCGATATTCTGTACCGAGTGTTTATGTTGCCCTTCTGATTGCAGGTAAGTCTGATTGATGATACGTGTACTCACACTGACAAAAGAATAAAATCCTGTTGCACATTTCACGTATTTTATGAGGCCTCACTTTCTTTCAAACGCTATTTATGTTTCTAAAAGCTTTAGATCAATGAATTTGATGATAAAAAATTATCTAACGTGTGTAAATAGAATAGAAATCAACTCCGTGTTACTGCCATTGCAGTTAACGTTTGAGTTGCTGCGCCCTTAGAAACATTTATTAACTGCCAAAGCATACACATAAAATTATTGCTGTAAAAATTATTTAGGTGTATAACGTTCACACGAATTGTTCTATTTTGTATTTGGAGGAACGCAGTGAAGAAATATTTATATCTTCCCTGAAGTTTGTTCGAAATCATACAAAACTCATTTCTACGCGGTTTTTTTTCTTCTAAAACAGACTCGTTAAAGTCCTCGTGGAACCATCATCAGCGTCAGCTTATAAGCTTTGTTCAGGCCGTTCCACTACTTAAAATAACATCTTGTTAACGACAGTGTAAAAAAATCAGTACGTAGAATCATATAGTTATTTAAGTAATAAATAAAGAATGTGTAACATGATTGTATATCATACACAATAATGCCAAATTGCACAGTAATTACAATAACTTTACATTTTAATATTTTATGTATTTGTTATAGATTGTTGGTTATTTTTGTTTTATAATATGACGTTGATAATGTAGTTTTAGAAACTGTAATATAATTATTTTAAATACTCAAATGGCCGGAAGCAAGTCTGTAAGATTGCACTGATGATGGTCTGATGAGGACTGAACCGCATTTGTTGTAGAACAAAATAAATAGTGTAGGAAGGAAGTTGGTTTCTCAACATTTCGTGAAAATACCCACGTGACATGAAAGGTTGTCATATCTACTTTTGATCGTCTCTGTCAGTAGGAGATTTATGGGTTCAACAAATGGACATAAAGACAAGCACAAGAGTTTAGAACTTAACAATAATTGAAGAAACGTCCTGTAAAAATTGTGCTCGGATGTGAAATACATGGTATATTTCTAATCTAGTTTTTTTTTTTGGTACATACGTGCCAAGTTTTTGCTTTTATTCCCATTAATAGTTATAGACTAGGAAATGGTGAAAACCTTGTTTGTCTATACGAACTTTGCAAACAAATTTTGAGAATTCTTAATTGGGCCCTGAGGTACCTTTATGTATATAATACGGATACTTCTGCCGTCCGTTAGTGGGTTACGAGAGCAATCTTAAAATGCTTTCGTGTTTACAGATGTGAAGCCAAAGACAGAGTGGTGAACTGTAGTGGATCCGGGCTGTCTGAGCTACCACGCTCAGGATACAACAGACACACGAAGACTATTGATGCGTCTGGTAACAAAATAGAAAATCTTAGAAACCACACTTTTTCTCGTCTTAATATAATTGCTCTGGAAGCATTGTATTTGAATTGCAATGTAATAGTGACAATTGAACCTAGAACGTTTGTCGGGCAAGGAACGTTGAAAGTCTTGGATCTCTCAGAAAACAATATCACATTTATACACCCAGATACTTTCGTGTTTACCGACAATCTGGAAGAACTCTTACTGGCAGAGAATCCTTTTTTGAATCTGGATGAAAATGAGTTTCGGATCAGTACACTTACATTTATAGATTTAAGCTCTTGCGGTTTAAATCGGATTCCCACTGATTCCCTTCCAAATTCAACAGATGGTTCTCTACAAATAGATTTTCGCTACAATAATTTAATTTCCATCAGCGATGACTCAGTGGATGCTCAAAAATGTGATAATGAATGAAAAACCAGTGTTTGGAATCTGTTACTTTTGTGACAGATTGTAATAACGTAAATTTGAAAGCGGCGTGTGTTCAGTCAAGGCTCCAAATGGAATGCAGCGGAAGACAACGAAGGTGATTTGCTTGGAATGTTAAAATTTCATGTAATATTTACTTTAATTGGTAGCCTATAGATATATAAATATTTAAATGATTTCCTTTGTTGTTTTCATTATGCTGATTCTTTAAATATGAGGTGGACTTTGGTAAAATTGTTTCACGAATAAAACTTTAAAATTACATTACTGAGCATGTAGTTTATTATGTGGAATTTGAGGTTATCACGGCGTTGGCGGCGCTTTGTAACATGAATAGATGCCTGATAATGACTACATTATTCGAAACATGTCTCTATTGTAAGATAGCGGTATTTTAATCTTTTTCTTGAAAAGAAACCACATTAGAAACTGACTTATTATCTTCTGAGTGCTTTATCAGACAAAACTCTTCTGCCACATCATTTGTCTGATTCTATAATCTTGTTCTAATCGTCTTAAAATATTAAGCTTAAGTAAATTGTTTTTGTCTCAGTACATGTAAACAGGCCTGCAATTTATTCTCTAGTGACACGAAATGCACACAGAGTGTTAAAGAACGTTTTTGTTAGTGGTGCAGAGATACGAATGTCGCTAATCATTTCAGTAGGCCTGCTTATGAATTAGTCACTTTGTTTCAGGCGAGTGGTTGAAGTTGGCTGTCTTCTGGGATGTTAACCGACGTTTCAGAGCCCCTTGCTGCCTCCAACATTCGCCCTGATGATGGAGGCAACAAGGACCTCTGAAACAGTGGCAAACTTCTGCTAGACTACAGAGCCCACAAGACAATTATCTAGATGTCAGTATGGGTCGTTTTTAATGTTGTCTTCCACTTTTCCATGAGGTCTGAGGTCATAGATGCATGCAACCAATTGAATCCTTTTCAGAGTCTGAATGTCATCTACAAAGGTCCGCCGCTGGACCTTCCCCTGAGATAGATGAAACCAATTCACGCTCTTGTGTTTTATTTCATTGCCCATTTGGTATGATATTTGATTATGTGTACCCAAAACACATGTAATAAAACAATTAAAGGAGTTGAAAGGAAATGCGTGGAACATTTCTGTGTCCGTAAATAAATTATTTAGAATCGTATGGTGGGTTTACACAGATTTCAAGTATTTCAGATTATCAGACGAAACAGGGATTGTCCGGCATAAGGCAAAGTGGTATTAATTTAAAATTTCTTTCAATATAATTTACCCTCTACGTTTATGCATCTCAGGTGGTCTCTTCCTTTCAAATTTCTGACCAGAACGTCACATGATGTTCACTTCACGATTTTCAAATTCCACATGAAATTTCACCCAAATCCAGGTAGTGGTCTCCAGTTGAATCGACTCGACAGAAGGGCGGATGGATGGATGGACGGACAGACACGACCAGCAAAGAACGCATAAGAAATGATAGTAAAGGAAGAACACTTCCTTTGAAGAATTTGAAGGTTTTAGACGTGACTCAGAAGCAGCTAGAGGATGTACCGCCAGAAATATTTGCATTGCCTAGCCTTGAAAAACTGTGTGAGTGCATGCAGTAAATGCAGTTATGTTATGTGGTCAGGAGCAGAATCTGTCAGATGTGAGTAGGAATTAAAATAGTATAAAGGAGATGACGGATGAATTATAAATTTATCTTGGTGTTTATAGATATGCACCTCGGCGCAGGTAAATGAGAAAAGATTTTAAACTTCCTTAAGATAAACGAATAATTAACAAAAATAAGCTTTTATGACGTTATTTAGAGAATGAATTTAAACGAGGAATTCTAGTTTCGTTCCAAAATAACCTCGTTAAATAGCGATAAACCTAATATAGGCTAGGCGTATATTTAATTATTCTCACAATGAAAGATATACACAATTAAACATCGGTTTTGTACATTCTATACTCTGTTGCTTTTGTTAGTGTTGTATTTATTACTGATGTTGTTAGAACCATCAAATTTGTTTGAAGAACAGAAACTGTATAAAGGGGCCTTTCTGTTGTTTGCGTATGTTATCTATCCTTGGATTCTTTTGTGTTCTATGTATGTTTTATGTAAAAAATCTGTTTTTTATAATAACGAGTTTTATGATCTGCATTTACGATTACCGACATTTCACAAGTGTTGCTGCCTCCAATATCAGGGCCATGATTCATCGATCTGTTGCCTCTGAAACGTCAGTAAACCTCTATAAAGTTTCAGTGCGCAATAATTCAGAATTTGATTCTGTAGGGTTCTGACTATGGTGTGATACAATATGGTTTGTTGGGTTTTTGGGCCTTGTCCTTCGTCCAAGGTTAAAATGTGCACGACGTTTCTAAAACAGTGTGTGTTTTCGTCTATAGGTGTATGGGGCAGGAGCGCCTACTCAGTTTGGTCTGATAGAAAATCTCAATCACTGCCCCTTCCTAATACACTTGAAGACGAAAACGGATACGGTTTTCGAAACGTCGTGTGCATTTTGTCCTTTTACGTCGGCCAAAGAACGAAAACCCATCAAACCTAACAGTGCAGAAGACAAGTGTCTTTGGTTTTTCCAACTACGTTGATGTATGGAGGAATGGATAATATCAGTGATAATCTTAGATTTGATCTTTTTTGCTTTGTAATTGTTTTTTCGTATTTATTCTATCAACCGAGTGTTTATGTAGCCGTTCTGATTGCAGGTAAGTTTGGTAGAAAACAGGTATAGGGGAGACCAGGGCACAACGGGGCCACGGGGCAGAACAGGGTATCGGCTTTATTTCGTCTGCAGTGCTTTGCGATTTATCGGTACCGGTTGAAATACCATTAGCATACAGCACAGGGTCATGACATGCCATTCAGCGTCATTTTGTGGTTACAGTTTCTGAAATAATCACCCATGCTGGATTTTGCTCCTAAATTTTATAAATTTTTCTCAACTTCCAGTGAAGGTAAGATCTATTCATTATTTGTATCCACTTCGTTGAATGATGCATGTTACAAGGTGTTTTCTTGAAAGTCTTAAACACAATATTTTTATTTATTTCCATGATGTCATTTTTGGTGGGACAATCCTAATTTGAAAGAGTATACTCGGGGCAGGATGGGATAGGGTAGAACGGGGTACCCAGAGAAGATGATCAAATGACGAGTGCCTGTAATGTGGCGATGTCTATTCGCAGTCTATTGAAGGGTGGATCCGGTGTTCGTCTTGCTTGAAATGGACCCATAACTCATGTGCAGGTGTTCATAGTCAATTTTATATCCTACGTCATAATTATTAGATAATCTGTGTCTTCTTACAACTTTTTCAAACATATATTAACCAAACTCCGTCTTGCCCCGGGTACGGGGCAAAATGGGGTAAGTTACATTCTTGTAAAGATATTAATAACTCTTAGAACTAAACTAATAAATCATTATAAATCTCAAATAGACAAAAAAATCCACACAAGGTTTCTCCATGTGTTTATCTTTATTATTGTCCCTTCCACATGCCTCCAAAGACTAAGTTGCCCGTTCTGCCCTGGGCTCCCCTACTCATATTGACAAAAGAATAAAATACTGTTTGCGGATTTCACGTATTTTTACGTTACTCACTTTCTTTCAAACGCTATTTGTGTTTTTAATAGTTTTAGATCAATGAATTTGGTGATGAACGAAATTATCTACCGTTCACAATCGCATTTTTCGAAGTCCGTATTCTGGAATGAGGTGTTATGATCTGCTTTAGTTCACTTACCTTCTCTAACTGAACTTAACACATTTCTTACCTTGTAGTTCTGCGTACATATATTACACAAAACACCAAATATTATTAATATTTGTAATATTACCACTAGTATAAATGAATAGAAAGTTGTTTATTTGTGTGGCGTATATTCTCTAACTGAAGGCGTCCAAAAACATTTCATGGAACAGGATTTTACTTTCGAACTTTCTACTGAAAGGAAATAAGTTTCGTAATGAAATACATTTATTAGGATTATGAAGAAATATCTGGGCCATCGATATGTTGCTTCTGTGCAAAATTAAGACGTGCTATGCAGCTGAAAGTGATCGATTTAATGCGCCCTTATCAGAGCGAAGGGACCGTGCAAGGCGTCTTTTGAGGTGTTGCCCGTCCATCCGTCCGTAGAGCTTTCGCTAGTTAGAATAATGTCATCAAAATATACATCAGGTAAATAGGACAGTCTAAGAGTGTGAACTGGTTGTATGGAGTGTCCTGCTGAAGACTCTTGTGGTGGTAAATTAAAACAAGGTTTATAATAAATTATTCTCGGGCTATCAGCCGTGTAAGTTGGCTTAATGAAGAAAACACCATCGTTTGGAGAACCATCTTCGCCCTCGTCCTCAGGCACGGCTGGTAGGCCGAGAAGAATTTATTGTGCTTAGTCGCCGTGAAAGCTTCAGATCATACAGAAGTCTGAAAAAAATATGAATCAAGTGAAATTTCATTCACTGGTTGGATAGACGAGTTGCAAAAATTTTCCTTCGTAACTTGGCCTTTTGTTGCAACGAATGCACTTGTCTTATTTTGTACGTGGATTCTTCGCCTTCTTGATGAAGAGCCTAACATTGAATGTGGATTATAAAAGAAAATTGTATTAATTTATGTTCATTATTTCTTTATTATTATTATTATTATTACAGGTGCAGTAATTTGTTTACGTAATCATTGTTGTTTTTGATTATTATAGATATGTACAGTAATTGAGATTTTAATGAAAACAATTTTTCATTCTCTGTTTACATAAGCTCTAACGTTTGTACTGCAACTAAAGTAATTGCTGTGCAACTTAAGCGTTAGACTTAACACTTCAGTTGTGCTTTACATGCTCAAATATGTAATAATTATAACAAAACGTAGTAATGGTTTTTATTATTATATGGTAATACTACTTATACTAAGAAAACAATTCGTTTTTGGTAACATTTATTCAAGCCTATTGACCTGAGAATTTATTCTTGAAAAATTATAGAACCACCTGAAAACGGTCTTATTATAGACCGAAACATGTAGTGAAAAGAATGGATAAGAAGGAAAACAGGAATTGTCGTGTAAACGGATTTAAGTAATTAGCTTAATCACTACGCACCAGGATAGGTGAGAAAATAGCTGAGTAACTATTAATCTCTGAAGCAGGACAAACATTCTACGCGCCGTGGCATGTAAATCAACGGTTTTTACTGGTTATGTTAGTTTTATTAAGCAAGAACAGTCCAGTATAATTTTATCATATAATAATAAATTTCTGATAATTGTTGTAATAAATACATTTTTTAAAAGTTTATTTATTTAAATCTTACAATTATTTCCACTATACTATTATTTTGTAACGAACTCTATCTATAGGCGACTTTAAGGAATTTTAAGTGAATTGTGACGAATGTTCTTAAACCGAGATTTGCTAGTATCACTGGCCCTGCAAATGGTGTCTAGTTTGAAGGATCGTTCCCGACGAGATTGTCACTTTCACAATCTGTATCTCGATACCGACTTGCAGTACGCAAAAGATCTCTTTTGTTTTTTCTGCGTTGTCTTAGAAACAGTACAAGAAGAACAACACTCAGGACAATGAATCCACACAACAGACCGCTAATTACATAAAGAGACGAATGTGTAGTGAAGTCAAGGTCATCCGGAGCTGTTGCTTTTGTAATATCTTCTGCCACGTTCATCGAAATTTCGGAAACATTTTGTGTTTTTAGTTCACTTTTTGCTGTTGATCTTGATACTTGTGATATATTTGGCGTGCGTGGTTCTTCAGTTTTTGGTAATGGATCTGATGTAAGTTTAAATACGCTACTTGCTGAATAATTTTCTGTTCCATTTGTTGTGACGACACTTACGGTTTCTTCTGACTTCACTGATGTTATTTCATTTTGCTGGTTTATTTCTTTATCACCACAGTCGTTATTTATGTCGTATTTTGCATTGTCGCAAGAACATTGTAATTCAAATTTTGTGTTACGTTTATCGAGTAACTTTCTCATTTTATAAAACTGGCAGTCACATTTAAAGGGGTTTGCTGATATATTAACGTACGCTAGTTTGTTGAGAGTTCTACCAGAAGCATAACATCCTTTAGTCAGATGTCGATCGGGGGGTAATATTTCTGTAAATATAGTGATATCCAAAGTTTTAAATTTGTTGTTATCCAGTCTAATATATTCAAGATTTGGCGCACACCAGAATGCATCTTTTGATATTTCGGCTAAATTACAGGAACTCAATTCCAAAGTTTTTAAATTTGGAGTTTCTATGAAGTGTCCGTTCCCTGGCAACTTTAACATTTTATTGTTAGACAGACTCAGCCATGTTAAGTTCCTGGCATAACTAAACGTCGATGGGTGTAGAGTAGTAAGTTTGTTGTTTGATAAATCCAATTTACTTAGGTGAGTTAAACCGTTGAATGCAAGTACTTCAATTGAGGCAATTAAATTATGCGAGAAATTGAGAGAACGTACCTTCGCCAATATATAGTTCTTAGCTAACGTGTTGTTCTTTAATGCTGTGATGCTGTTGAATGAAGCATCTAGCGCTCTTGTGTGGACGTTGATGTCATGTTGAATTTCGTTTGGTGCTGCCCTTTTAGAGATGACAGAGATCTTCTTAGGTGATTCTGGTGCACTCTGACAGGTGAACGGCGTTGGGCACTTGACTGCGCTTGTGAATTCTTGTGTTACGATGAGCGTAAATATGAGATGTTTCTTGTAATTCGACATTTTCTGTTGAGCTCTGCAAAAGCTCCCGAAATGTTCGTGCCGAGACTGATGTCACCTCATTTGAATGATATGATCGAGAAACTAAGTGGTCTAAAGGCTTTACCTGTTATATGTATGATGCTCATATAATGATAAGATTGTATGATAAGGATGATGAAATGATGAAACGTGACATACGATCTTTAAAGAAAGTGAAGATTGTTCAGGAAAGTAGAGTAAAGTTCAACCGACCTGCTACACGACACGTAGGTCGTTTGAGGGGGCGGTGTATCTCCTACTGATTCATGATCTCGGCACTAGATACGGGTGAGTGATTAGCATCACGCCTCGGCCGCGCTTAACCCCCGGGAAACGACGCCGATACCCATTGAGTAGAAGGCTGGGTGGGCCCTAGAGCCGGTCTGGACACAGAGGATAGAGGAAAAATCCTCTGTCCCCGTCGGGGAGCGAACCCATAGGTAGTCACTATTCCAACTGAACTATCCCGGCTCCCATGTTTAATGTGTTGATAAATTCATTAATTTCACAGAGAGAAAT